TTCATAGACTTTTTCTATATCTTTTTAAAGAAAACAAAATTACATAAAGAATAAATAATCACAATATAATATTTTATAATATTTTATAATATTGTATATTTGTATGGTGCATATAGGTGATAGTTGTAGGTATACTGTAATACTGTGATGTTTCTAATAAATTATTAAAATGTATATCTATACTAAAAAAGTTTTGTGTATCATTTTAGGCTAAGAGGTTTGAGATACCACAAACCTCAAGCATTCAGTGTTTTCATAAATGGTAACAAGTGTTGCATGGCGATGTTATTAAAGTAAAATGTAATTAATTTAAAATGTATATTGTTAGTTTCTTATACCGATATCAAATAGTCTTATATACCCCAACGTTAGATCTAGAATCAAAAAATAAACGTTATTGATAATTATGCATAATAAATGTTTAATTAATTGCAATTAATTTAATATTACAAACTACGAATTATAGTACTGGGAGGAGACAGAAGTAAAAACTTCTAATAATACATTTTAATTATTGCTTTTTATTAAAAGAAAAAATGCCCAATACTTTATGGTACCGGGTAGTTATATATATAATAAATAGCATAATTTATGTTTTTTAAAAATAGTTATTTATTAATTAACATTTTTACATTTTACTGTTCCTCAATGGTTAAATTATTTCCATCATTATCACAGAGTAATTTATTTTGTGTCATTTTTATCATCTTGTGTTAAGAAAAAACTGTTGTGGAGGTTACCAGCAGATGAAAGCATAATAGTTTTTATAAATATACATAAGGTACTGGTTCAGTGGCGTTATTTCAGTTTTCAATAGAGGGGGGGGGGCAAAGGATTTGACCTGCCTGAATTAGTTTTAAAAAAAACCGGTCACTTCGCTCGCCCAAGCACTTATCTACTTACGTTTTTATCAAATTACCATTCCCACCTTACTTATTTCATAATTTTAATATTTTTCACTCCAACTGTTACGATCCTTTTTATTAACTGTGTAACTACATCATTTGCAAATATAAGGTACCAGATATTTTATAAAAACAATTGTATATTTCTATACAAATTATAACTCTGTAAAATATTTTAACAATTGTTATTAATTAAGAAAAATATTATTAATTTATTAAAGGATATCTTTTAATTTTTGAAAATGTATCGACTAAATTTATTTTACCGGATACATCATTTTCCACTGCAATGACCAGTAAATCCCTAAGTCCTTCATTTTCCATTGTTAACCTTAGATGGGGGGCTTTAACTAATTTTAGAGAAGAAAAAAGCGTTTATTGGATGTAGTTGTAACAGGCGAAGTTATAAGGATATTTATATAATTTTAAGTGTTTCGTGAAAAAGCATTTGGAAGTTGATTTAAAATTTTTGAAATTGAATATAGGTCATTAACTCCATCAACTCTGTCTTTGTTAGCATGATTTATTAATTAAATTATTATTTTTTTTTTGTACTGTGGTTTTTAGCCGCACCACCCATTTCTTGTTCTTATGACATGCATTGTCCATATCAAAAGAATTATGTGAACATGCGTTACAAAAAAAATTGAATATATTTAGAATGAGTGGTTACTGAACTAAATTAACAAAATATAGAATAGTTTACTGTGGCCCGTAATACACGACTGTCGCAAGTTAGCTGAAGTCTGAGATCAAATATCAATGATAAATAAGAGTGGTCAATCGATTTTTGTTCATAGAATTATTTAGTTATTTTTAAAATTATGATTTTAATTATTATTATTGTTGTGCATACGCATTCCTTTTCCTTACAAACACACACATACACACAAACATACATGCACGTCCCCATGTGCGTCATAATATAAATATATTTCAAATTTTCAACTATCAATTATTGATTAAAAATGTTTCATATTGTGACAATAATTTCTTAGCATTACACAGTATAATATTTTCTGAAAATATAATAAATATAGTCATGTTATTGAGCTAATAAAATATAATAATGGTTAAATGGCAACAAGCGCTGCTTTTAAAATCAGACAGGGGCAAATGCCCATCTTGTCCCCCAAATGACACCACTGTATTGGCNAAAAATCTTTATATAAAACAAAATAAAATAATGCTTTTGTATTCAATGTAATCTCACATAAATAAACTTAGATTATAATCATACAAAATTGTAATAATAATAAAAATACCTTTTAGTAATAACAATATGTAAATAATAATGAATAATTAAATAAGTTTATAAATTATATTAAATGTTTAGGCAAATGTGAAAAACCCTTTTTATTGTAGAAAATAAAAAATAATAATAACAGAAGTTGATTAGAATAATAGAACAACTTAAAATTGCCAACATTTTAAAAATCAAAATCTTTTTATAAAATAAAATAATACTTTTGTATAAAATGTAATAATAATAATAATAATAATAATAATACCTTTAGTAGGTATTTAATAAGTTTATACATATATCATTGTTTTGACAAATATGAAAAACCTTTTTATTGTAGAAAGTAAAAAAAATCATAACATCAGTTGATTAGAATAATAGAATAACTTAAAATTGCCAACATTTTAAAAATCAAAATCTTTTTATAACACAAAACAAAATAATACTTTTGTATAAAATGTAATCTCACATAAATTAACTTATAATAATCATTCAAAATTGTCATTATAATAATAATTATACCTTTTAGTATTAATGAAATGTAAATAATAATAAATAAATAATAGTATTAAACAAGTTAATACATATTAATGTTCAGACGAATGTGAATGAATCATAGACATAACTATTGCTTTTTTTTCTAATATTTGTATAAAAAAACATTTATAAAGAATACAAGAAAAGGTTACATAAATAGGTTTTGATATACTTGATGTATCCACATAAAATAAACCTAAAACATTAGAAGGTAAAGGGTCATTATAAAAAGGTGATACGTTATTGAATTTACAAATATTCAATGTAATACTATTATCTTCATTTTTAATTATTTGTAATACCCTAGCAATTTGATTACAAGATAGCATTACATATTGATCTTTAATTTTATTGGTATTAAGTAAAAAATTATTAATACTCAATTGTTTAAACATCTTTATTTTCGGGTTGAGTATGGATTGCCTATAAACATCATAATACATTTCATATTTGAAAACCGGAGACTCTGAAGATCCAAGTGTACAATTATTTGATAGATGGGTTTTTTCAATTATCCTATTATATGCTTCTTGTAATGGAAACCTTGTTTTTTTATTTTTTTTTTTTATTTCCTGCAGATGGTTTTCATATTTAAAAACACTAAACTTATCTAGGGGCCCATGGATTTTAGCACACTCTGGCAAATGTATTAAATTATGTACATTGTATGATATGTACTCTGGACCATAAATTATGATATAATCTCTAATAAATTGTTTTATTAAAGATGTAGCCTGATCATTATATAATATATGAGTCTCTTGAGCCACCAATAAGCGCATTGAACTATGCAATAGCATAAAATGTTTAAACTGATTTTTTTTTAAAATACCTTTCAGGAGAAATGGCCCAGTATAAAGGAGTAAGGCACGAAGCTCTGTGGCCTTAAAGTTTTCAAATTCTTGAAAAGATCTAGGTAATCTAGAAAAATCTGACGGATAATATTTTCTTAAGTTTTTTATATTTATATCTAATAAGTTTAGTTTTTCTTGAGGAATTCTCACCATTTTTTTGGCATTTACCCAAAACCTTATCAATCTTTTAACTACTCCAAGACATACCACATGCATATAGTCGAGACTAACTACAGAAATGATATCAATAGGTAGACGTTCTAGGGGAGATGGTCCTTTATGGTAATCCTCATTGGTCTTACTGCGAAAACTTTCGTTGGTCCTACGTGGAGCATTCACACCAGGAAATGTCATTCCCTTAATGAAATCACCTTCCTCAATACACATATTACATCCAAAATAAGCCATGTGACCTTTTACATTAAGAATATAAGCTTTAGCTGGTGCATCACATATTATTTGACTAATTGAAAATCTAAAAATGTTATTATCAATAGTAATGCCATTTTGTAAAATAATTAACATTTCTTCAATAAAAGGATTTAAAAACTCTTCGACATCATAAGGTTTTTTTGAGTCACTATGATAAATTCCAATAGTGAATACTTTATTAATTAAAATCGGTATATTTATAATAGACATTAAAATAGGCCAAAAAGCACTTCTAGAACATTTGGATATAGGCAATCCGTCAATATTAAAACTAAGTTTTATCTTATTTGAATTGATATTCAAATAATGTTGATACATTTTTAATACAGGTTTTAACATATATTCTATTCCAATATGAATGTAGAATCCTGGTTTTATATTAATTATATTGTGAGTAGTTGGAGTTTTTAGAAGCGTTCTAACATCTTTTGGAACATTACTATGACCCTCAGATCTAAATATTGAAAGAATTTCATTCATTGCGTTATGAGAGATATTATAATCTAAAGAGAGTTTACACAATTTTTGATTTAGATGAGTTGCCGGTGGTTTAACAATTTCAGTGTCCATAGTACTTAACAGTAAATGATCACTAAATAAATTTAGTTGTAAGTCATTTTTTTGGGGATAAATTTCTTTGTCAACATCAATATTATTTGTCGTTTGATTCTTTACATTGGACAGTGGTATAATAGTATCACATATATTATTTGTTATTGTAGAATTATTATCACTATTTAATAGACAGTTGTTTTTTATAACAGGCATTACCGGTGAAAGATTTGTATTGCTAGCAAAAGGTTCATTTGACCAAGCTGCAGTAGTGTTTGATGAATTATTATTAAGAGGATTTAGGCGACTGATTTCCATTGAAACTAATCTTTTAAAATTTCTGCTCGACATAGTTGATATTGTGGTACGTTTTTTTCGTTGAGTTTTATTCTGTAACATTCAATAGACATATTATAAGAAGGAATGTAATATTAAATAATATTTGCAACAAACAATAAGCACTATAATATACATTACTTTTAAATGTTAAAATGTATTTTAATTATTTGAGTATCGATGAAGGTAATTAAAATTAAGATTCAGTGCTTTTTTCAAGGTCTCTTTTATATCTCTGATATCCATGTCTGAACCAATCTTTAATATTTTTTTCAAATTCACAATCAGTACAGTTGAATTTAAGTCTGCATAACTCTAATAATAAATCAAATATAATAATAATATACTTCACTTAGCATAACATTACATTTAAAAAAAAAAATTTTACTACCTAACATAAAGGCCATGATTTTTAAGCTTTGTAATTTGTGATTGGCTTCTCTAGTTTCACTATCTCTACCAGACCCAGTCCAAGAACATTTTTTAGCCAATGCATTAGAAAATAATCTTTGTAAATTCCTTTTAATTAAATTTTTAGCATCTGTACCGCCAACAATTTCCATGTAAGATTTCTAACATCCAATAATAGTTAATATATAAAACATGTACAAATACACAATAATATAATTTATTATTAATGCATTTACTTTAATAATTTATATTATTAATCTTTACAACCATTTTTATAAATTGCAAGAATAAATAAATACAAAAAAATAATAGAATATCTTATACTGAAATTTCACTAAATTGATAAAAAAAATTTTTAATTTAAATTTTACAAAACATGTAAACACAATAATTATAATTAATATTTATCAAAGTTAGAAAATAATAAACCTACCATTTTAAATTCAAATTCCTTATCATTCATTATCATTTGCTCAATACTAGTTAAGTCTTCTGTCGACTTTAAAGGAAACAAATTCAAAAATGTATCATCAAAAGAAGAGGCAGTCATTTTTGATGAATTGTTTTCAACAAACAAATTTCTCTTTTCCAATCTATCAATTCTAGCATCCAACCTTTGTACATACATGTTTATTGAAACTACTGTTCCATGTATTTTTTTCAATAATTCATGAGAACTATAATCATCAACTAGAACAATAATTAGCTTATTATGGTTAATAATACATTTATAAACAGTTATAAGTCTATAACTTTAGTCTGGAAAACTTATGATCATATAAAATTCAATAAGAAAAGATGGTGAGATATACGCATAATAGTTATAGTTGTATAATAAATATCATAACTTATTTGTATATAATATATTTAATAATTTTTTAAGAAAAATAAGTTACTGAAACATAAAAAAATGTCTATGTAAATTTATAAATACCTAAAGAGCTCTGTAATGAATTACTTTGAATTCTATCATTTTCAGGATAAATTCCGCTGGTACTTTCAATATGGTCATCATTATTGCTAAATAACTGACGTCGGGTCGCATTACTAGTACTTTCATAATTCTGAATGTCAACATTTAATTCATCACTATAGTTGTTTGTAACCAAACAACTATTATTTAAGACATTAAATGCTTCTGATTAAAATAAAAAAATAAAAATTGAAAATCTCTAATTAGTTTAATAACATGAATAAGTATAATATCTTTCAATAAGCACTTATACCAGATATAATGTTTGGAGATAATCTTAAATTTATCGGTGATCCATTTATATTTTCTGCACCAGACATTTTTGTGATCTTTATTGGAGTATATTCTGGGCTTGTATCATCTAATTATGAGTAATTATTATAGAATTAAATAACTTTTAAAATAATTTTAAATATAAATATAAATTGTTAATATTGTTATAGATGCTATATCACCTAAATCCATTGCTATATAAATATAAATAATTCAGAATTGCTATCTATATAAAATGTATTGTTATTAATATAGAACAATTTATTATTTATACCTATATATATCTTAAAATGTATATTTGGATGAATAATAAGAATGATAAGTTAAGTATAATAATAATACATAAGAATGTATAAAAAGCTAAACTAAAAAAAAATGAAATGTAAACTATTATGAGTATACTTTTGCAGTTTAATAAAAAAAAATTAATAAAATTCTTGATTTTATAATAATTATAAACTAACTGAATTTACAGTAGTGGAATGGCATACGACTTTGAAATAAAAATCTAAGAAGGTACCTACTTGCATAAGGACAAATAATAAATTGATACCTAAATAAAAATCATGTAATTTATTAAATATATATATCTTAATTTTAACAATACCACTTGTCATTGTTTCTGAATTATGTTCTAGGTCATACAGGCTTCTTTTAAGAAAATTGACCTTTTGATTTTTTTTATTTTTTTTTATACTACATGATTGGATTGGTTCAGTCTCTGACGAGGATTCATTAATTAACAAACGTTCACGACTAAGAGCATCTTCATAAGAATCTTTGAAAAATCAATAAAATTAAACAAGTATGAATATAGTTTAATTTAAATGTTGATATACATGGTTTAATGTTAAGGTTTATAAATACCTAAATATAATAATAATGATCATCACACAATAATATCATTGGTAGGAAAGTATCTAGTCAAAAATCTATAGTAAAAGTTTTAATAAAAAAAAAAAATACTTATCCATAAATATTATTAATATAACTATTAACTGCATAATAGATTAAATAGTAATTAGATTTTATGGATATATATATAATACTTAAAATATAGCAAATTTGTCTTACCATAAGGTAAACCAATAATTTTAACATCATATTCTAACCAGTCCTCGGAGGGTCTTTGATATTTCATTATCATTTTGTTAGTAACTTTATGTTTAGGCCATTTACATCTAACAATAGATCCTGGATTTTTAACAAGCCAACTTTGGGGCACTACTGAACAACTTTTTGAGTCCAAAAATGTTACAACATTCCACTGAAAAATTAATTTTTAATTTTAATAGAATATATTATACCTATAATAACATAAAATAATTATATTTTTGTAGAAGGTTTTTAAAGTTATATTATAATTGAGACATATTGTAAAACTATGTCACTTGGGACGGTTTTAAAGTCACTTAAACTTGTATGTACAAACTTCACTCACTAGGTATGATGGTGGTAAAATATTATTATTATTTATACATTTGTTAACACTTACAATCTGTGTAAGTAAAAGTTTGTATAAATACCATTTATTTTAATATTTCTGTCAAAAAAATAGTAGATAATAAATAGTAGATGCACTAACATTTTATTATTTTAAATCAGCTTTATAATTTCCTTTTTTATCTATTAGAATAATAAAGATGACATTTTCAAGTTAAATTATCGATACTCAATAATTAAAATATCAATTATATTAGACAGGGCCAGATTTAGGAGTTTATAGGGCTCACATAAAATTCAACTGATAAGGTGTCTCCCTAGAATAAGTATTTTCAATATTTAGCAGTAGTTTAAATTAAATAATTATGATACATATGTGAATACTTCATCTATTAATTAACCTATTTATACCTAAATGATATGTGAACTGTGAGCTCTAAAACCCTAAATCCTGCATTGGGTTGATACTTGATACTCATATAAAATACATACCTCTACTAAATTATATAAACAAAGGTATTATAATATGTAAGTATGTATAGTATAGGTACTTACCAAAAGATCAGTTTTTTCGGTTTCTTCACTTCGACCTGTAGATCGCATATTTCTTGACATTATTGTTGTACAGGACGTAAAAAGTAAATCAAAATATCAAATCAATAATAAACTACAACACACGTGACACGTTATAACTTTACGAGAAAAAAAACAGTCAACGGTCAACGCAAGCAACGCAAGGCAAGTACGCACGCATTTATGATCAAAGCTAACGTAACAAATAATTAACAAAGCCTATTAACAGAGTTACCGCCAAAATATCAATCGTGCGCGTTCTATTCGTTTTTTAACGTTTGTATACATGCGTTCAATGAACTAAATACATGAGTATTTTGCAGTACGCAGTGTTGTCAGTTATTTTTAAAATAGTTAATAACAACTATGTATACAGTGAGCGCACGCGTGGACGAGTGGTGGTAATTTATATTTTAAATGAAATGAGTCACGTGACCTGCATTATATAATTATTATTTATACTAAATTTACCATATTACTATATTAGCCATTAGGTTAATAATTAACTTCTAATAGAAATGTATGATTAACTTCATATAGAATTATCATTATCGATTTGGTAGACCAAACATCACACTGTATTGTCCATGCGAAGTAACTAAATAACTTCTAATAGAAATTTCAACATAGCTTCTCTTAGATATTTTTTTTGTTAGCAATCTTTAGGGAATATCTTATTGAATACTATGTAATATTTATAGGGGAAGTTAAATATGAGACCTAAATTTAACTTATTATAGAAGTTATGTGACTCCTTTTGCACAGTGGGTTATTTTTATGTAATTTATAGTAAAGCAATTAATGTGGGTATCTACTCACAAAAGTAATTACAATAGCACACTAGAAGAACAGAATATCCGAATATTCATACATTTTTGGGTAGGTACTTCCGTTTTATCTCGACTGCATTGGGTGTACAACTGTGTTATGTCGACTACCAAAACATATCCAAGACTACATAATATTATCATCAACGTTATCTCGATTCATTTATTAAAAAAGTACGATATATTCGTATTATATAGTTGTCGCTTAATTAATATTTAGTTAACATTTAATTAACATTTTAAGCTAAATTTAAATAATTAGTAGATCGTAACAATAATGTACACTTATAAAATGCATTATATTGATTTAAAGTAGAGCGTGGATACTGCATAGTTAATAATAACCGCTAACTACTACGAACAAAAGGAAGGCTGTCGAAGGGTCGACTGTCTGACGAAATAAATACCTGGTCTGATTTCAAGATACATTTAAATTTTATTGATAATTATTATTTAATCATTATGTAATTATATGCATGCTATTTTACAAACAAAAACCGTTCAGAAATTACCTGTTAAAAGATAATATACATATATATATATTAAATATTGCCATGATCATATAGTAAATATATATATAGCAAGGGTGGCGAAGGTGCCATGAAAAATATTTTGTTATATTCGAACATCCAAAACTCAATATTATATAAAATATATTATTATTTTATCTACAAACTACAGATCAAATAAAATAATCGTTATTGACCGATTAAAAACGTATGCTCAAAATATTTTTACTTATTATAATATTACATAATATAATGTATAAAGTATACTCTAGAAAAAATAATTTGATTTTTCGATTGCCCTCGAAATCTTCTCGTATGCCACTTCGGGCACGCATGCCATAGATTTGCCATCCCTGGTATATAGTAGGTATACACAACAATTCTATAATGAAGTGAGTAAGTAAAGGTGGTTTTATATTGCTACAAAGCTATACCACAGAATAGATACAATCAGAAAGGACACTCTAGATGTAAACAAAATCGCGACGGATTGGCGGCCATCTTCCTAACAGGAAAAATTCTTATCAGTTATCATTATTCATTTGATAAACGTGTTTACATTTATTCAAAACATTAAATTTTAAATATTTAAAGTTTTTACTTGTTCAACAGCAATTTAACTTTGTATTTTTGTGTGTTTGTTTATTTCTTTTATTGATGCAAGTTTAAACTTTAAAACCGATAATGAATAATAAGAAAATATCGACTGTTCAATGTGTGGTAAACAATTGTGATGATAAAATGTCTCAAAATCAGGACTATAGTTTTTTCACTTTTCCTAAAAATGATTCTATCAGGTACGTAATTAATACTAATCAAAATAACTGTTAATTATATTAAAAACAAACCATATTCTATTTGATTTAAGATGTGCAAAATGGATTGAAAATTGTGGTCTATCAATTTCAACAGATGATGCTATTAAAAAACTCTATAGCGTCTGTGGGAAGCATTTTGAAGAAAATATGTTCCTGAACGATTTAAAAAACAGACTTCAGCCACATGCTATACCTGTATTATTTATTGGTAAGAAATAATAATATTATACTGTCTAAGAATGTATTGTTATTTTGTTACTTTTTAGTATGCCTACCTATAAGTATAAGGTAGCTTACACTTGAAATTACTAGATTGATAATTTTGAATTAGAAAATAATACAATCTAATATTTTATTACATACCATACTTCTTATATTGGTTTTAAATGGTTGTTTAAGTATTTGACATTTGTTTAGATAAAACCCAGGGACTTCTTCCAAGGCAGATAAATTTTGAAAATACCATTTCAACCCAAACTAAATCGTCAACTTCCTCCATTGTTGAAGTCTTAGCATCTCAATTGGACAAAGATGATTCTTCTGAAGGTGTACATTTAGATCCTCAATCATCAACTGTACAGGATACGCCTAGACTTCAAATGACTTCTGCATTACATACAAATGATGTTTTTGATGATGTACACTTGAATCTTACACCATCCTCTTCATTTGATTCATCTAGATCTTGTTCAAGTTAGTATTCTATTAATTTTTACTTCTTTATTTTATTCTAATATTAAAAATCATAATTTTTAGGCTTATCAAAATCTGTGCAAACTTTTAAATCCTGGTCTAATAAAATGCCTAGAAAAAATCTATTACGAGAACAATTGAACATAGAAAGAGAAGCTCGAAGAAAAGCAGAAAAAACAGTCCTTCATTTGAGTTATCAGTTAAGTGAATATGACACGGCTGAACATTTTTTGAATTCTTGTGAAAAAACATCTGGCACCGACTGTTTTGGCAATAGTGAAGTCCCACATGGTATGTAAGAAAAGGAAACCTCAAGGTTACAGGTATTCAAATAGTTTTAAACAGTTTGCATTAACTATTTACTTCTTAGGACCATGTGTGTATAGGTTTTTAAAAAGTAACCTTAGTTTACCTACTATTAGGACTTTAAGAAGAGTGACTAGTAAATATGAACTTAATCCAGGGTTAAATGATTTTCTCTTTCAATTTTTACAATTTAAAATGTCTAATTTTGATAGTGATGCACGTGACTGTATTTTATGTGCAAATGAAATGGCATTAAAATCCCATTTATTTTATTCTCTTAAAAAATATGAAATTATAGGATTTCATCAAACAAATTCGACAAAACAGTATTCTCCAGCTAAATATGCGTTGGTTTTAATGATTCATAGTATTAAATTAAATTGGAAATAACCAATTGCCTATTTTTTAGTTTCAAGTAGTTGTGAAATAAAAGACTTGTATGATATAATATTTTCCACAATTACCAAACTTCAAAATGTTTCATTAAATGTTAAAGCGTTTATAACGGATCAAGGTTCAAATTTTGTGAGTTTTAGTCGAAAAGTTTATGTAAGCCCAAGCAGGCCATATTTTAATGTAAACGAACAAAAAATTATATATATTTTTGATCCTCCCCATTTGTTGAAGTCAACTCGAAATATGTTTTTAAAACACTATTTTAAAATTGATGATCAATCAACCAATAGTAACTTTTTAGCTGATTTTTACAAAAATGATTCAAAATTAAACTTGAGACTAGCGCCTAAGTTACCCTATGCTCACATACATCCTGGTCCATTTGAAAAAATGAAAGTAAAGTTAGCTGCACAGGTATTTAGTGAAAGTGTTGCTGCAGGAATGTTCACTTACTTAGCAGTTGAAAAATTACCACTTGAAGCTAATTTACCATACAATTCATAAGTAAAATGGATAAGCTTTTTGATATATTTAATTCCTCAAACATACCAAATGATAAATCTTATAAAAGGCCTTTCAAAAATACAGAGTTACAGAGAGATCACTTAAATATGATAAACCTAACCTAACCTAACCTTTGAAAAGTTGAGAGTTATTTCTGTAAATGGCACTGACGTGACAGCACGAATGAATTTCATAAATGGATGGCTGATTGCCATTAATGGTCTTTTTATGTTATGGGATTCATTAAAACGGGATTCAAATGATAAAGATTTTTTTTTATGTACTAACCGTCTAAATCAAGATAGAATCGAAAATTTATTTGGTATGTTCAGGTTGCAAAATGGAAATAATCGAAATCCTACATCTTTACAATTTTACTGCGCCTTTAAAAAATTATTCTGTTTGAATTATTTCCAACATTCACCAGACGCAAATTGTATTAAAGACCTAGATAGTATATTATGTCATTTAAATCCTGCAGAACAAACAAACAGTTCAAGTGTAATATTTCCTGAAGAAACGCCAATCACTTATTCAACTAGTTTAAAGATAGGTACTGTTGACTATGGAAACCTTGATGTACCAGAGTCTAATGCTTTGACTTTTGTTTGCGGATACCTATACAGCAAATGTCTTAATGTGCATCATTGTGAATTGTGCATTGAGTATGGTAGAAGCCAAAAAGATCTGGACAAAACACTTCTTTTGTGCTACTTTAAGGCATATACCAATAAAGAAAAAACAGTTTTTGGTAATCTACAAATGCCCCACACCAGTTTTTATAACTACATAAATGAGCTAGAAAATTTGTTTACAGAAAATTTCCCTGTTTTTGCTGTTGAGAAAAATGTAGGAACTAAACTCAAAAATGCCTGTGATAATGTTCCATTTGAACACCCTTTTTTGGGGGAGCAAATGTATACTTTTGCCCCCCCCCCCCCCCCCCCAAAAAAAGTTAACGAAAAAGCCTGATATTTCAATATTTTATTAATGAACGCAGAAAAGTCGAATTTAGTAAATAACTAATGATATTCCCTCTGTTTTTTAATATTTTAATTTCTGATGTAAAACAAGAAAATAGTTTTTGGAATTCCAAATTCAATTTGAAGCTGTAAATGCAGGCTGATTAAAAAGAATATTATAATTATACTCATGTTAATTAAATAATCGAATATTGATAAAATGATAATAATTGTTATCAAAATTAATTCATCTAGAAAACATGGTTATAAAAAAAAATAATAATTACCACGGATTAAGATAAGTTATCTTAGTCCATGTTATCAACTAATTCAATTTCAAAATATGTTTTGCCGTTATCAATCATATAATTTTTCAGTTGTGGACTCTCATTTCTCAAGTGATCGAAGATTAACCTATGTTATTGTGTTATTGATTTCTAAAATGTCAGA